GAGAGAGTGTGACTTGCCCAGGGTGCCCCAGTGGGTCTCATGGCTGAGTGGGGAATTGAACCCTGGTCTCCAGAGTCATAGTCCAGAGCTCAACCCACTAGGCCACACTGGCCCTCATAACAATAGGGAGGGCAAACAGAAATTGCTTTCTTCCTCTTCTAAATGAGAGATATTAAATTAAGAGCCTATACAAAACAAACAAAATAATAAATAAATAAATAAATAAATTTTATTTATATACCGCCCATTGGTGACCCAATCCGGGCAGTTCACAACATTAAAATAATACAGCCTAAAACCTAAAAGCAGATCCTACAATCAATCAATATCAACGCCTTTATTGTAGTCAACAGACCATAGGCAAACATAAAAGACAAACTCGATAAAACATGAAGATTACAGCTCATAGAACATCTGAGTGGCCACAGAAAGTAAGATATTACAATTATAAGATGGATACCCCCAGGTAAAAGGGGAGTAAGTAAGGGCCTTTGCAGACTGCCAGAAATAGTGCAAATTGAGTCCACTTTAAGGGTTAGGGTTAGTGCTAGGGAATCATGGGAATTGTTTTTTTTTTCTGAGACATTGAGCCTTCTCTGTCAGAGAGCTCTGGTGCCACAATAAAATACAGTTCCCATCATTCCCTAACCCTAACCCTTAAAGTGGACTCAATTTGCACTATTTCTGGCAGTCTGCAAAGGCCCTAAAACAGGTTTAAAACAGCTCCCATAGAAAAGTGTGACTTAAGTTTATCGTTAGGGAAATCAGTTTTTCCTTTTCTTACAAGATTATTTTTTGTGACACATAATTTCCCAAGTTTTAATAGCGGACAAAATAAACTTAGCAACTCCCTTAGTGATTCTCTTGTCTTTATCTGCTAATAAAAATTTTAAGTACCATTCAGAAGATCTACTTGGTTTACTGTTCAGCAAAGGTGAGATTATTTTTAGTCTAACATCCCTATAAAAAGAGAGTGAAGAAGCACATGAGACAACGTTTCAACAAGGCCCTCTCCACATGGATCCTACAAGCCTGAAATCCACCAGCTCCTTCAATACTGGGTGGCATCTAAATCTGTATCTATCAAAAACCTAGGACATTCGCATCCATAAGTGATTGCTGCTGTTGTTGTTGTTGTTTGTCTTCAAGTGATTTCTGGCTTATGGCAACCCTAAAGTGAATTTATCTAGGGGTTTTCTTGGCAAGGTTTGTTCAGAGGGAGTTTGCCACTGCCTTCCCCTGAGGCTGAGAGAGTGTGACTTGCCCAAGGTCACCCAGTGGGCTTCTGTGGTCAAGTGGAGATTCTCCAGAGTCGTAGTCCAACACTCAAACCACACCACACTGGGTTTGCCTTAGTGTGGCCGGACTTGAAGGCACACAACAACAACAGTTCTTCCCCAAGGCAACTCCAAGACAATTTGGTGGTGTTGTTGTATATATAACTACAATATAACTATATCTGTTATATTTCTTGCATTCATGCCATGAGACATCAGAGTCTTGTTGACAAGGATGGATATTCCTCCTAGTTAAAAAAAGTGTTGCTGTCCCTCCTAAAACTTGTTATTGTGTGCCTCCAAGTCATTTTTGATTTATGGCAACCCTCTCATAAGGTTTTCTAGGCAAGTTTCTTCAGAGGGGGTTTGCCATTGACATCCTCTGAGGCCAAGAAAGTGTGATTTGCCCAAGGTCACCCAATCTGTTTTTATGCTCAAGCAGGAAATGAACCCTGGTCTCCAGAGTCATAGGAGTTTGTCACATGGGACGGATCCAGTGCAGAAACTGGATTTAAACTGGGGGGGGGGGACCACAAAAGTGGGTAGTTTCTCAGACAACGTTTGGAGTTAACCCAAACAGAAAGTAGAAAAAGCCCACAAAAGCAGGTTGTTTTTCAGACAACGTTAGCATTAATGAGAATTAATGCAAAATTAACCTAAACAGAAACTAGACAAAACCTGCTCCTTTCTACTTTCGGAAAATCTCAAAAGTAAAAAGCAGTGGATTTTGTCTACTTTCTGTTCAGGTTAATGTCACATTAATCCCATGTGAAAAACGACCCACTTTTGCGGGTTTTTCCCGGTTTTTAAATCCCATTTCTGCATGGGATTTTTGCAGTTTCCCCCCCGTGTGATAAACTCCATAGTCCAAAAGCAACTGTACCTCAAAACTTGCATGACACGTGTCTAGTGTTGCAGGCTGCAGAGTGGCTCTGCAGTCAGACCTCCATATCCACAGATTTTTATCCACAGATTCAAGCATCCATGGCTTGAAAATATTTTTTAAAAATATAAATTCCAATAAGCAAACCTTGATTTTGGCTTTTTTATGTAAGGGACACCATTTTACTACACCATTGTATTTAATGGGACTTGAGCATCCACAGATTTTGGTATCTATGGAGGGTCCTGAAACTTAACCCCAGCAGATACCAAGGGCCCACTGTACTTTTATTTTCCTTGCCATACTGATGTTTGAGCCACAGGAGCCCTGGAGAGGGAATGCTAACCCTATTCCTGTTGGAAAGTGAAGGTATGTTTTTCATACTGAGAAGTTTTAGAGCACCAAGGTGTTAAGGTATCTGTGGTTTGTAGTCCTCATTGCACCTCCATGTTAATTTTTTCCTTCTTTCTTTCCCCACAGGGAATGGTGGGCCTGGTGACTGGTGGGGCTTCAGGCCTGGGCCGTGCCACGGCAGAGCGGCTGGTGCAACAGGGAGGCAGTGCTGTGCTCCTGGACCTGACAAAGTCTGATGGGGAAACTGTGGCCAAATCGCTGGGAGAGAGATGCATCTTTGCTCCTGCAGATGTAGGGCTCTTTCAAATTGAGATTTTTGAGCATTTAGGTCCTTAGAGCGGGGGACAAGATTTCAGTGGCTGAGCTGAATTAATGTCTCACTCCTATCCCAGGTAACATCAGAGTCTGATGTGAAGGCTGCCCTAGCTCTGGCCCGGGAGAAATTTGGGCGAGTGGATATAGCAGTGAACTGCGCAGGGATTGCAGTGGCTGTCAAGACCTATAATATAAAAAAGGATCTTCCCCACAACCTGGAAGACTTCCAGAGAGTTATCAACGTGAGTAGGAAATAAGATTCTGGTTCTTTGTCATCATTTGTTATTTGCTTCAGCCATTTCCCTAATCTTTTCCTGGCAGAAAATAGCCAAAAACATGCTATGTTACAAAAAACAGGGGGCCTGCAATAAAATGTTGCAGTGTGAAGTGTTCCCATTCAGGATGCTAATCTATGTTAGTTTCAAATATGTTTATTCCCATTTCTGCTTGCCACCCAGTTTTCTGGATTCCCTGTCCCATAAAAGTCAAGCTTTGAAGACTCGCTGGGCTTTGCAGGGGTGGGGGATTTTTCCAAGTAAGAATTTCCTCCTTTTAAGATTATTTTAAAAATAAATCTACAGATTTCTGGATTCCCCCCATGCCTCCTAGTACTGGACTCTTGTACCTGGATGGTTCTGCTTGGTTGTATAAAAACTGATGCTTTTAAAAAAACACAAGTTAATTATTACTATCTATCTAGGACGCAACTTGATTCAGATCAAGGGTTGCATTCAGAGCTGAGTGCGCTGTTTGCACATACACAACACACACACAGCATGCCAAGGGATATGCCAAGTGGAAAGGGGTAAAATACTATTAATAGTGCCAATGGGCAATATCAACTGTGGTTTCCATGATTTAAATTGGTGAGCCACTTTTAGTTTCATTTTTGAGAAATAGGTGGGATATAAATAAAGTGAGTGATTGGTTGACCAGATCATCATGGGCCTCCACGGCAGGTCCAGAAGACCTATGAAGACTGCATATTGCTGTGGATTTCCCACATGGAGTATATATGCAGACGATAGTTAATCCTCTCATGTGCTGGTGGGGCAGTGTGGTATTGTTCTGTCTTGCTTGCTTAACATGGGAGGACAGGGCTTTGGATCCTCAAGTCTCTTCTGTCTGTGTCTCTCAGGTGAACATTGCAGGAACATTCAATGTTATTCGGCTGACTGCAAGTGAAATGGGGAAGAATGAGCCTGGCTCAGATGGACACAGAGGGGTGATCATCAACACCGCCAGCGTAGCTGCTTTTGAGGGGCAGGTGAGTCTCAAGCTTTCTCTGCCAGCTGACCTTCAGTGTATAATGGCAGAGGAGTAACCTGCTCATCTTGCAGCTCTGAACCATGCTTAGCTCTCAAATTATAAAAGGCTTTGTGTGGAGATGTATGGTTGGGAAGATCCTGGATATGGAGTTTGAACTCATCCAAGGGTGGCCAGCCTTCAGCATAGAGGCAGCCTGTGGTTTGTGGAACTCTGAGGCAAGAGCAAAGATATCTCTATGGGCCTGAGCCATGGCACACAGGCAGGCTTGGATTCCTGTCCGCTTCTCCTGTACCACACAGACTAAACCCAACAGGCAACCATGGGGGGCTGTAAATGTTCTTCAGTACAAACTAGAACAGCCCAAAATAGTTTCATAAACTACTCTTTCAAAGGCCTACTAAAGATTACCTAGTTCCAACACAAAACCCATCCAACCCTTCTTCTTTCTCTGAACCCCACTCCCAAATCAGAGTGAGCACTGATTCCTCATCTTACTTTATCTCCCTGTAACTCTAGACGCCTTGTCTCCATGTTACCTACCATTTACATAATCACTTTTCATGTATATTTTAGATAACACTTCTAACTTCTGATGTGACTGTAATAAGTGTGGGTTTTGCTCTGTTATTAAACTATTAATTGTATATCCTACAGGTTGGCCAGGCTGCCTACTCAGCTTCCAAAGGAGGCATTGTGGGAATGACTCTACCCATTGCCCGGGATCTTGCCCCTATAGGGATCCGTGTTGTTACTATTGCACCAGGTACCAATCCTGCCATGAATCTGGGCATTGGAGGGGCAGAACTTGTTAAGATTGTGCAGGACTTGAGTGGCAAATGGTTCAAGGCAGGGGTTATGTGTACATGTCAGTTCAGAACAAAAACACTAAAATTCTGTTACCAAAGTAATTCAGATTCTACAACCTGCACATATTATGTAAATTAGAAGAATTTATGCAAATTTGTTTTGTCTGTTACCTATTCTAAATGTTTTTATTTATTACATGCTTAGTTT